TATGACGGATGGGCATTTGGAGGATACAGTGGATGGTGAGACTCAGGGACATGGTCATGTTCAGGAGTCGATTGCAGCTAATAGATCTAAAAGGATTATTCGTCGATCAGCTAGATACAATAATGTGATGGTTGCATATGCTTTATAAGTGGAGGTTGTTAATGATTTAGTTCCTTCTACATAAAGGGAAGCAAAGTTAAGCTCTGATTCAATCAGGTGGATGGAAGCTATGGAGGAGGAGATGCACTCTCTTCAGAAGAATGACACCTGGAAACTTGCAAAGCTACCGAAGGGTAAGAAGACTATTGGATACAAATGAGTATATGCGAAGAAAGAGGGATTTTCTAATGAGGATATTCGGTACAAATCCAGATTGATTGCCAAGGGGCATGTCCAACTTGAGGACGTTGATTATAATAAAGTATTCTCACCGGTCATGAAGCATTCATCGATAAGGATACTATTAACATTGGTGGCACAACTGGATTTGGATTTGATCTAGATGGATGTTAAGACAGTCTTTCTACATAAAGATTTAGAGGAGGAGATCTACATAACACAACCTATGGATTTTAGAGCTACAGACAATGAAGATTTTGTGTGCAAACTAAAGAAGTCTCTTTATGGATTGAGACAATCATCGTGACAATGATACAAGAGATTCGACAGTTTTATGATTGGTCATGGATACACGATGAACCCATATGACCCATGTGTTTATATGCACAAGCTACAGGATGGTGAGTATATTTATTTGTTATTATATGTTGATGATATGTTCATTGCTTCCAAGAATTTTTTGGTTATTCGAAAAATAAAAAAGGAGTTGGTATCCGAATTTGAGATGAATGATCTTGGAGTAGCTAAGAAGATATTGGGTATGGAGATTGAGAGAGACGGTGTGAAAGGGAGATTGAAGCTGACACAGACGAGCTACTTACAAAAAATATTGAATAAATTCAGCTTTGATGGTAATGCCAAGGGGTGAGTACTCCATTGGCTCCACATTTTAAGCTTTCAGCTAAGATATCACCTGTTTTAGTCGAGGGCCGAGAGTACATGTCCAAAGTTTCATATGCCAATGCACTGGGTAGCTTGATATATGTGATGGTGTGTACGAGGTTAGATTTATCACAGACTGTGAGCATGGTGTACAGATACATGCACGACCCCGGGAAGGGTCATTGGGAGGCTGTGAAATGGATTCTACGGTATATCAAAGTTGTTGTGGATGTTGGTTTGGTATTTCAGAAGAATGAGAAGATTGGACAGGATTGTGTTGGATACATGGATTCTGATTATGCGGGGGATCTTGACAGGCGTTGGTCTACTACAGGATATGTATTTACACTAACAGAAGCACTAGTGCGTTGGAGATGTACACTTCAGTCTACACTCTACTATAGAGGCAAAATATATGACGGTAACTGAAGCTGTAAAGGAGGCTTTGTGGTTGCAAGAATTGTTGGATGACTTGGGGCTTACACAGGAGACCATCCGGGTGTATTGTGATAGCATGTCGCCTATCTATTTGGCAAAGAATCAGGTATATCATGCACGCACAAAGCACATTGATGTCAGATTCTATTTTGTTCGAGATGTTTTAGATGATGGAGATGTTATATTGGAGAAGATCCACACAAAGGATAATCATGTAGATATGTTGACCAAAGTTATCACTAGGGTGAAATTTGGTCATTGTTTAGAGTTATTGAACATTCTTCATTGTTGAGGACCTTTGGAGGTTATTTGGGTGAACTACGTGAGACTTGATTGCTTGGGCAAGAGAATACGTAGGCAATCATTTTGATGTAGCTAGTTTGATGAGTTGATACCAACATGGTGAAGATTGTTCGCATTCTCATTTGGTTCCTGATTTATTATGGATTGAGTCCATTGTCGTGGATTGATTCCACTTTGTAATGAATGCAACAAGTAGGACGTTTGGTTGGTATTGATGTCGACTTAGTTTTGAAAAAACTTCGCCGAGATGGAGAATTGTAGAAATGGCAAAAACAACGACGAAGTTCAGGAAAAATGAAGCAGGAATCAGTTTGAGCTCTGGCCGGTCGATCGCTATAGGCTGTCTAAAAATCACAATAGATAGCTGATCCTCATCAAGCCCCGAAGATGGAAGTTACGATCAGACGACTTTCTAATCGTTGTATCTGCAACTCTGCAACCGCTACAAACACGGCCTCATTTCTGAGATGATTGATCTTGATGGCTGCGACAACAGCATGACTAATATTAGCAACTATTAGAGATGCTGATGAGCAGTGTAATGATTTTAGAAATAAAAGGTTGGACTTAGTTAGTGAGTTGCTTGGTAGAGAGCTGTGGGCAAATATTCGTTTAAAAGTCACTATGGATGTTTGATTCCCGTCAAGTTCCAACAATAGAAACTACAATCAAATAGTTTCACGCCATCGATCGAAAGCTGCAAATAGAGGACTTTTCACATAGATCGAGGAGTGTTATAATTCAACGATACTTCCGACAACTGATGAAAACTCTATTCAGCAGTCTTCATAATTTACAGTGAAGGTTACAATCTGACGACTTTCACGTTCCACAACAGCTAAAGCTAGGATTACCGAACAACGGTCCTTGCAACGCTCTTAGAAGAGGTTACAGATCAACTAATCTCTTCTAAAAACGCGGAAGTCATCCCCGCGTCACAATTTTGGAAAAGCAGGCGACCCCCGCGTTTCTAAGCTATAACAAACCAAACGCGAGCGACCCTCGCGTTCATTGGTGTTCAGCCAACACCCAACTTCGCGTCTCAATTCTAAGAGGTGACGTTGGGTTCTGAACGCTAGATTAGGCGTTTGACTCGTTCGAATACGAGCCGAACGGTTTCAGAACTATTTCCCCACGATCTGAGGAAATCACGCCCACTTAGGAGTGGATTTAGAGGGCAGTTACAACCTCCTATCCACCTATAAAAACTCAACAAACTCAACTGAGTTAAAGGCTGGCTTTTTAGAACGGAAGAGGAGGCAGCAGGTTGGATTTTCAGGATCTCAACCAATCAGGTTTGGTGATTCAACAGCAGCAGCAGTAAAATCCTTAGAGATAGGATTTTTGAATCAAATTCAGAAGATCAAATCGAAGAGGATTCTTCAACAACAGAATATCAGCTTGGTCATTAACCGAATTTTCGATTCTAACAACTCTATTAACAGAGTTATAAGTCATTCAGAGTTCTAAAACTCATTCAGAGTTATCCATTAAACTTTCCACAGAAGTTCATCGTTCCCACGAGATAGAAGATAGTCGGATCGTCAACGGAGAGCAAATTTGACGCGAGCAATCGAAGGAGGCATTCCATCGCTACCGAGAAGAACCCAGTTTTAAACAAAGGAGAGAATCAAATTCGTTCTCTTCTCTTTTGTAATCAAATTGTAATCAGAATCAAAGGAATACAAGTCAATTTTCTTTGTTCTCTTCTTTGCAATTTTTCCGCGACAACATGTGCGGTCGACCAGAAACGTGTACGAGTACAAGGTATTTTCTGGAGTTCTGATAGGTCGACTGCGCCATCAAATGCGGTTGACCGCGGACCCTGTAATGGATTTTTGGTTTTTTGACGTTCTGTCTGGTCGATCGCGGCGTCAAGTGTGGTCGACCGTGACTCGAGTTTGGACCTGAGCTTCGTTTCCTATTCTAATTTGGCTTGTGTTTTGATATATATTGAAGCACACGTTTTTCAGGGTTTTCTTAAAGCAAAAAGAAGAGACTTTTGAGCAGTGTGATTGAGAGATTTGGTGAGAGATTTGAAAGCTTTGTTTGAGAGATTAATTTGTGAGTTTTGAGTAAATTTGTAATCTCTTTTTGTACTCTCTTTCTCTCTCTAATAGTAAAATCCACCCCCTCCTTGCCCCGTGGACGTAGGCAACATGCCAAACCACGTAAAACTCATTGTCTTGCTGTGGTGCTTGTATTGGTTTATTGTTTGTGATTCGATCTCGCTTGTTCATGCTCTTTTTTGTTTGAATTCCGCTGCGCACAACACTACCTCCTAAGAGTGGATAGACCTCTCGAGGGATTTTTTTACTCTTTGCCCTCATGAGGTCTATTTGTCAAAAAACAATCTTATCTTTCTCTGAAAAAATTTCACTAAGACAGTCTATCTGCAGCAGTAGAACAACAGGGAGTCTATTTAGGCAAGTACAATCCGCAATTAACTCATCCAAAATAATTGATTAGCTCTCGTTATAGTTTCAAAATTTTGGCAGTAGAAGTGATTTTAAATTTTAAATTGTTAAAAGAAACAACTAAGATTTAAAGTCTTGATAGTAGAAGAGATTTAAATTGTTATGAGAACGATTCATATTAGATTCTGATCATGTAACAAGAGAGCTAAAGATGATATTATAACTTTCAGGGTATAATAAAATTGTATATCCTCATTGCAACTTCGGCATTGTAGTATAGTCAAAGAATTTTTTGATATGATATCAGAAATTAACATGTAAGAAACATATATATAACCCTATCTTTATCACAGTGGAAATGAAATAACTCAAGTCACACTTATATTCTGCTTTAAAACATAAGGAAGGTTAAAATCAAAAAACTTGTACAATCAATTTCTCTGTACATTGAAATGTACAGATTCTTCAGCCTAGAATTCTTAGGGAAGATGCTCAGAAATTTCCAAGTTCTGAAGATGAAAGACATGACCAGCACTTGCACATGTTACACTCCATAGATCTAATGAAAAAACAATTCATATATAGCATTGTACAGATGTAGCCTTGCCCATCAATCATCATGCATGGCCCCTCTCAATCAATACCAAAATCTAAAACACATGCTTTTCTCTGCCATACTTTTATAAAGATACAAATCATAATCGAAAGTAACAGTGATTTTCAACAACTAAACAAAGATACAACAACTATTGAGTTTGATGCAAACAATGTCTGATAATGTAGATGAGATTTCTTTTTTTATTTTCTCCAGGCTAAAAGAAATTATCGATATTAAACTTGTTAACAAAGCCAAAGCACAAAACATATGTGCAACAGTTAACAACAACATGAATCAAACTCAAGTACTCCAAATACCATTGAGTATAGATCGAAATCTATTGGTAGAAAGCTTCTTCATGATCTTCTTGGCCTCAAACACATCATTTTCTGCGAGCTTTTCGACATTTTTGATATATCCAGATGCCACAATCTTCCTCCTGCAACTGTTGCTCTCAGTTAAGGCCAATAGAGCCGATAGCAATAGCTTCTTGGTTGCACACTAAAACTGTTAGATCTAAAGCACACATATAAGTATGACATTCATGTGAAATTAGTTACTATGACTGAGGTTTCTATTGCATGATTAATTTATTCTTAGCGTGATAGGAAAAACTGAATATCAATCTTCCTCCTGCAACTGTTGCTCTCAGTTAAGGCCAATAGAGCCGATAGCAATAGCTTCTTGGTTGCCACTGGCTTCTCCTCTTCTGGATTAAGCAACTGAAGTATTTTACTAACATTGTGATCTTCTTGAACGAACTTTTTCCGATTCTTTTGGATTGAAATCAAGTTACAGAGAGACTCTGCTGCCATTTCTCGGACCTCAAAAGATTTTGTATCGAGTAATTTCACAAGCTCTGGCATAAAGCCTAAATCACCCATCACTCTTCTAGCTTCCTCTGAAACACCAGATAGTTTTGATGTAGCCTTAAGAGCCGATTCTTGTATTGAAATTTCTCCATTCCGTAGAAAAAACAGGAGTTTATTGACATATCCGGAGCTCATCAGAATATTTACAACATTTGTAGATGAGAAGCAGCAACTCTCAATTGCACGAAGAACGACCTCCCTTGTTTTCGATGAGTAAGAAGAATTTGGGTCTAAGACGTGAACGAGTGACTCAATAACTCTTTCTCTAATCAATTTTTGCTTGATAGCTTCATCTTCATAAGCCAAGTAGGCTAAAAACTCTATAGCCTGTATTTGGATTGCCTCTTCCTTTGAGCTAACAAGATTCGCAAATACTGAAATTGCACCTTCATCCACCATAAATCTCTTAATTTCAACAACAACACTAATATTTCTTAGAATTCCACAGGCCAAAACAACCAATTCTTTGCTACTATTGACGCTGCTACAAATCTTGAGAAGAGTATTAACACCTCCTTGACCAGAGACTGACCAAGAGTTATCAGAATTATGTGTCATTCTCTGTAAAATTTTACCGGCCCTTAATTTCCCCAGTTCGCTTCCAGACTCCAATAACCTAACCAAAGGCCCAATAATTCCACAGATGGCTAGATTTCCTCTATAAGATTCAAACCCTGCAATCATCAAAACCGCCTCCAACGCCTCTTCTTGAATACCCAAATCCACTAATTCAAGAAGAGTAATCAAAATGCTTATACCATCATCAACCTCGGTCGCCACAATCTTGACGTACTTCTCATCAACTGAAAGAATGTCATTAAGCTCAGCCAAAGCTCGGACCCTCAACTCCAATCCTCCGATCCTCAATCTCGAAAACAGATCTTTTGCATAGAGCCTCATGTCTTCGCGAGTAGCAGCAGCTCCTGGCTTAGAGAGTATAATAGCTCTAGAGCGTGTTAAAATCCCAGAAGCATAAATTTCATCAAGATGTTTGATATGGAGATTGAGTTTGGCTATGATCATATCAAGATCGCTTCTTAGTCGAAGCTTACCTCCTCTGTAGGATTCATTGCTGCAGTCATCAGAGAGCAACTGGGTCTGGTTCACCGTTGCAATTAAGGATTGCAGAAGGATGTCAAGCTCTGGGATTCCCTTCGAACTGGTATCGACCGGGCTGAGCCCGGAGTTGAGCTTCCCAAGCTTCTCTCTGATTGATTGCCATTTGCCCGCAAAGGATGGGACTGAGTAACTGGATGATATTAGAGCATCAATAAGAGCAGAAGCTTGCTGGAGGCTGGAATCCCCTTCTTCTTCCTCTTCTTTCATTTCTGCGAGAGCCCCAAACCTGCAACAAAAATCTGAAGCTCTTTATCTTAGTATCAGCAAAGGGACATTTTGTGGTAACTGAATTCTCTGATAGTTGATGATAATTACAAGAATGGCCTTGGAATTGGTGGGTAACGGTTAGGGACAAGTGTAAGGTAACAGTAGTGGTAGTACTTTTTCGGAATATTTACAAGATACAGTAGCAGACTGTGGTTCGGGTGTTGAAATTTATGATTGAAAAGTTTGTTGGGGGGGATACGAAGGTAGGTTGAAGAAATGAATGGAAGTTGTGGTTATTGTTGCGAGTGATGATTTGGTATTTGGGAGTAGAAGTGAAGAAAGGATAAACGAAGTATGTACAAGTGGAAAGTTCATTGTATGCGTAAATATTGTTTATTATTATCCCTATCATAAAGTGATCATACCTAATGTATAAACATTTTTTTTTTTTATCATGAGCTTTAGGGTTTGTTGCGGATAGACCCTCCGTAATTCTGTTGTTGTAGATAGACCGGTGAATTCCCAATTCTCGTTAATTTTCCATTTAAGTTAGTTATATGCAGTGACGATCATCGAGCAAGCTTATGGACTGTAAATCAGTTTATAACGAAGTTAATAATGCTGGGGTGTGCCTGCAATAGTAGAAGTATAGGGGTTCTATCTGCAATTTGGCTACAGGACAAGGGTCTTATCACAATTAACCCTAAACTTTAACAGCGCTGCTAATTAAGCAGGCAAGTGTTGATTATTGTGACAAGTAGCATAGGTTGGTATATAAAGCATATAGGATGGAATCAAATAAATGATTAGGACCTTACCTCAAATTCTATGTAAAGTGGGAAATATTAGTCCGTCACTTTTAGACTAGTGGCACCTAGAGTTAATTAAGAACAAGAGTTGAGGATAATGAAAAAATCTTTGATGTAAAGGGGAAGAATTAGTTATTTACGTGGACCACTGATAAGATCCAATGAGGGAAACAAGAGAAATATACGGAAAAAGAGTTGTCAATTGCCTCCCATGTGAACTCCTTTGTTCGGATGCCCTTTCCTCGTGTTTTCTTGCAAGCAGAGCAGAGAAAGGATCTCCATAACAAACAATGAGCACAAAGAGGCACGGGCATCCAAAACCAAAGCAAAGGAGATAAGCTTTTCATTGAAGCTGAGTAGACGGCATGGGGATGAGCTACTTCAGAAAAATAACAATCTTAAAAGGGTTAATTGCTGATTCACCCAGTGTACTATTGTCCAATTGCGGATAGAGATTCTATTATTGCAGATAGCCCCTAATGAAATTTGTTTGATTCTTTTATCTTTAGAGAAAAAAAAAAGAGAATACAAATTTTTCACAAGTAAACTTCCTGAGGGTAAAAATGTAAAAAAAAATCGCTCAGGGATTTATCTACAACTATTGAATTGCAGGGGGTCTATCCGCAATTAGGCGAGGGTACGTGGGGTCTATCCACAATTCACCCACACTAGAATGGTCATAATTAGCACAATGGTCTCATTTTATTAAGTTTATAAACCCTCTAAAAGGGACAAACTGCCGTTGTTGTGCTTGTAGTTATCCTCAAAAAGGGAAAAAAATAATTAAGGTTTATTCTTCCATGTGACCACCGCAAACTTTCTAATGCCATCCATCCTTCTCTTTTGTATTGTTGACAGTTAGTTGAGGCATCCTATCATCAATTCCTCAAATGCTTTGCGATCCATTTCACGAGTTGACACATGATGCTAGCTATTAAACTAGTAACTTTTCATTGTATTGTATAAGCAGTCCTTCAATATATAATAGCCAAATGATTAAATAGAAAATGGGATGAGATTCTTAGTTAGTAATCAAGGTCTAAAGATACTACGACATTTAAAATACAGTTAGTATTTCGCTAAAATGTACCGGTACATGGCTTATCATTTTAAGAGGTTCTCTATCTGAGGAGTTAAGATGAGAAACATAGCAACTACATCGAGGACAGGCTTTGATGGATTGAAGAGGATGGCTAGCATGGGGGTCTTTTTCCACACCAGGACCTAACGGATTTCTTTTTAATAGAATGGGTCCTATGATCTGCACTACGGAAGCAAATCTATATATTCCCCTTAATTCAAACATGAGTTGTTCAATGTTGTGACTAGATAAGCCAAAAAGAAACATCATGTTAGGTACCATAAAAGTCTTGGTGAGTGGAGAGTGGCTTTCATTTCTTAGGGAATCAAGGCGTAAGTGAGAAGAGAACTGTAGCCGCGTTAGATATCATCTGGTACCGGTTACTTAGCTTAGAAGAGAGCAGATTAAAGGGTATTAAGTTGTCAAATGAAAAGTAAATGATAAATTGATAAGATGCAACAACCCTAAGAGCTATAGGTTTATGATTGCTAGGGAAACCATAGGAATTTGAGCAGTAAGTACTTCACATGTGACTCAATAGTTTCGTGAAGTAAATACTCGGTATTTGTGATCAAATTGAGCAACATCACATGTGCTGATTAAGAAAAGACTTGTATAGTTTCAATACTGAACTAAAGTTTCACTCGTACTCAAACAATAAACCAGAAGAGGCTTATTCATAGGAAAATGATAGGGGCACACCCTCAACCACACCCCCTCTTTCATTTAATACAGTGCACCGGACCTCACATGTGATTTTAAATTTTTAAAATCACATGTGGGGCCCGGTGCACTGTAGCAAATGAGAGAGGGGGTGTGGTTAGAGGTGTGGTTGAGGGTGTGCCCCTAGTGCCACCCTTATTCATATGTTTCGACTTCAGAATCACCAGGGTCCTTTTCTTGAAAATTCAACTGATTGTACGTAGTTTCACATGTCATCCTTTTTCATCTCTATAATCCTTCTAATGTGACGAGTTTCTGCACAGTAGAAAGGTTATTTTACCGGTATATAGTCATGTTCTTTAGGACTCAACTAACATCCTGACCTTGGTCCTCTTAGATTAATCTAACAAAGGAATGATCCACACATATGCAGATGATAGAGCGCCCAACTGAGGAGGAGATAATCCAAACTCTGCTGCATCAGCACTTTTTTCCATTTTATTTCAGGGCCCAATAAGAAATGTTGAGCCCCAAATCGACAAATCCAGGATCTAAAAATTTATTCAATTATTGATCATGATTTGCAGATCTCAGGACCTAAATATACGCCAGACTTCCTATATAATTTAGCAAATAACGATGACCTTCAAAGCTTATAGACTATAGTTTACCACATTGACATATTTGTCATGAATCTCCTGATGCATGTTCATTTGATCAAAATGGATGCCATACCGCCATTTATAGTGATATATAACCACTTATTTAAATCTAAATGTTAAAATTTGCATTTTGTAATTGTAGAATTGCTAATCCTGCGCCGCTGTCATTGTCCATAAATTTAGAAGTAAGGATTGATACGACAATGACAACGTACGAGCAAAGTAATGTCAACTATAATGTTTCAAACAAAAGTCTGGCAACAACATAAATTCACTCGTGAGTAAAGCCTACGAGCAACGTAACGTCAACTATAATGTATCAATTCAAAGTCTGATAACAAGATAAATTCACTTGTGAGTAGAGCCTGCTAGATTTTATTGTCATAATTGTCAATTAGTCACAAACTGGAAACAGGGTTTCAAAAGCAATTCCAATGGAATCATTTCAGTTCATGTCAATGGTGCTGAATATCCCAATGAAATTGATCATACCTCCAAAGTGAACACATCATAGTTTGAAGAAAAGAAAAAAGACATGACCTCATTCCTCCAATCTCTCTCTCTCTCTCTCTCTCTCTCTCTCTCTCTCTGAGCTTTGAACGGAGTAAAAAGCATTTGAGTTGGATATATTTAACTCCAAAAGAGAAGCCAGCTACGAGAGTGCCATCAGCGTACCGAGATTCCAATCTGAACCAAGAGCTTTGCAAGCGGATCGATGCTTGGAGCAAAGTCAACAAGAAATATGCGGACGTAGAAAATTCAGGAATCCAACACCTCGCTATTGTACTTTTCAATCCAAGATTCAATTTATAATCTGCTATAAACATTCCAGACCTCAGATATATCACAGTTCAACCACATAAACAAATGAGAATCTCAGAAGCTCTTGTTATATAAAGGACCAGCTCATACAACAATAGGGTATCAAAATAATTCCAGTTATTGCACCAACCAAAAGAAATACATTATAATTGAGTCGAAGCAAAATAATTGAGTTTTTTCGCCTTTTTTGAGCCTGTTAACAGCTTTTCCTAAAGAAAAATAGGTCAAATTACAGACCTCAGATATATCACAGTTCAACCACATAAACAAATGAGAATCTCAGAAGCTCTTGTTATATAAAGGACCAGCTCATACAACAATAGGGTATCAAAATAATTCCAGTTATTGCACCAACCAAAAGAAATACATCATAATTGAGTCGAAGCAAAATTATCGAGTTCTTTCGCCTTTTTTGAGCCTGTTAACAGCTTTTCCTAAAGAAAAATAGGTCAAATTACAAGTAACCTTGAACATGTAAGTTACCCATCTTTCCAATCATAAACAAGAAAGGGGGAGGCAGCTATGAGCAAGAAAGCAATACCAGCAGCCAAAAGTTACAGCGGGACCACTTTAGAAGCGCCACAGGCGAACGTTCCAATTTTCTAAGGTTGGCTATCGACCACAAGCCCGATACACCAACAATGCGTCCACTGCAAAAGCAACCACCAATTCTACTTCAATCTCCTGACCATCAATATAAGCAAGCTACTCTTCACCCACACTAGAGATGCCCTCTTTGCTTTGCCACGCGTATTGGAGTCCCTGGAAACTGCAGCACTCACCTGACCACAAAGAAGACGTAAGATGCTGGAGTGGTGCAGGAGTTTGATAAGTTATATGGCCAAGATAATTCTACTTCAACATCACAGACCCCACTGAAATTGCCCGCTTCATCAAGAAGGTATGCTTCCATGCAATGGTGACATGCAATGTATTCTGTTTCTTTTATGTTGCTTATGATTGGAGTGGTGCAGGAGTTTGATAAGTTATATGGTCAAGGGTGGCAGTGCATTGTTGGGACTGATTTTGGCTCATTTGTGACACATCATATGGGCTGCTTCATCTAATTTAGCATAGGGAAGCCTTGTGATCTTGCTATTTAGAGGAGCAGCAATGCCTGAGGCAGACGCTGACCGGTTAATAACAATCGAGTCAGTTAAGGCATGATTTCTTCTGCTTATTGTTTTTTAATGTGCAAATTGTAATGTAATGAGGAAAATATAATTCATGTTTCACATTCACGAATTATAGTCCTCCCTCTGGCTCTGATTTGTTTTCATTATTGAGAAAAACCTACTGACAAACCTGCAAGGTGAGAAAACATGCAGATCTGAGCACAATAAAATTTTCTAATGTGATAATAAGAAAAGTTATCCCTGATTCTAATTCCAAAGACACCAAAGAACAAAAATTTAAAAGGCTGAATTCACCAAAAAGAAGTAAAATCCAGAGGATCTTGGTACCGGTAGAAGTGTCAATGAAACAATTAGAAATTAATGTGGTGCAGGGTCAACATCTCGAACCACGTAGCCATTTATTCCCTTGAGAAAGATAAAAGGCAAAACAAGACTTCACTGGCCATGTAATGTTCTAAACACAGATAAGACAAAAAAACATTACCGAGAGCCTGAGAGGTATTGAACCATTAGAGGGTGATGACAAAAGGAGGAGCATCCCTCCTTGGCCCGGCAACAGAACGATACACATAAACTTTCTCAGCTTCCTCAGTTTCATTGCTCTCATTCTCCTTGATAACCTCCACATTCAACCTAGGCATCTCCCTTGCAAGTAATCGACAGCCATTCATTGTCACATTGCAAGCTGACATCCAAAGAGACCTCATGGACTCATACCTCTCAATCCCTGAAAGCAATGCTGCATTTCCAAATGGACAGTCTCTTATTTCCAGCTTTCTCAACTTCGGGCATCCCTTCAACACAAACTGCATTCCCTTGTCACTGCTTCCAGCAAAAGCAACTGATAAGGCCTCAAGGTTTTTAGCATATATGCCAATGTACTCAAAGGCTAGATCTGTGAGAAGACCAGAAACAGAAAGTCTTTGAAGTTTAGTACAGGTCTTCACAACTGCACCAAATGCTTCATCCATTGGCTCATTGGTGAGGTAATCAGGTACGCATGTGGTCATTATACAAAGGCGGAAGTGGGTAAAGTTGGGACAGTTACGAACTACAGTAGCTACAGCAGCATTAGTCATCCGACGGCAGAAGTATAGAACATAGTGAAGTTTTGGACATCCCTCTGAAACTGCAACAAAACCAGATTCAGTAACACCATTGCCACTACCATCCAAAAGGTCATCCTGATCGAATGGGTCTGCTGGAAATACCCGGAGTTCTTCAAGAAGATGACAACTGGACCCCGCAGCTTCTAGTCCTTCGTCCTCTACAGTGTCTAGAACCTGTAGGAACAATATTGGGGGAAATTAGCATGTTGAAGGGATAATTCATAGTTTGAGAAAAACTTGTCTCGATACCTTTGGCTCATCAGAATGCAATGCAAAAGTTGAATCTAGTTATAACCCTCAACCCTCACCACAACCTCGAAGTCATGGTGTGGTGGCGAATCTTTGACATGGTATCAAAGCAACCCGTGTTCAAGTGTTCAAACATTAGTTGCCACAAATTTCTAAAGCGGACTAAACAAGATGTCACTCAGTGAGTCCAAGTTTCGACCCATAAAGATGCCGTCAACATGTAAAGCTATAACCTTCCAACTCTCACTACAACTAGGTGCAGTGATTGGGACCTTTGACATGGTACCATAGCAACTCATGTTCACATCCCACTAGCCATGAATTTAAGCAGATTTTAAAAATATTGATATTGTTGCATGAGTCTTAAGTTTTGGACCAGGAAAAGGACACTCAACCTGCAGGGCAATGATAGAGTATAGAATTATAACTCTCAACCCTCGTCACAAGTTCAGAGTTACGGTGTAGACTGTAATTGTAGGGACCTTTGACATCTGGGACATCAGTATATTATAACACAAGTTTGATTTATTATCAATTTCTTCAAGACTGTTTGTAGGATTAAAGACTCTAACAAACATGATTACATAACAGGGGATATAGAGAACTGATGAGCTGGCTCTCTTGTTTAGGTGGAAGCATTGCCACCAGAGAGACAAGCAAAAAGAATATGGGCTTTAGTACGAGATGTTGAATGTGAGCTTATAATTGTTAATTAAGCATATGGTCTGTGCGAGGAAAAGGTAAACCATTCCATAGCTTTTACTTTTATTATGAATTTACTGTTATAAAATGCAAAAGGAAAGAAAGAGAACATAACATTATGACAGTATAATGCACTAAGTTAATCAGTGGACCACCAAACAAAATTCTACTTTTTTTAAGAGAACACGCTTTCCCCATTGTAACAATCTATTAGGCAATATTCCACTAAAGAAGTTATTACTTTGGAAGTTTTTTCGTGATTGACCAAAAGATTTGGACAGTCATACACATATCAGCAAGTGGCTACACTGTCAGCCTAACATGTTAGTTAAGAAAATATATACAAATACTTCCACATGAAAATTTTTCAGAACTGTCAAACTGTGGTTCTATCGATAACTCATTTTCATTGCTACATAATCTATTCTAACCACACTAGTGAATGAACTCAAAAAATTAAAAACCGAATTTTGCCCGGTGAGATCAACAAAATTAACTAAAAAAGCATACTAAAATGTGGTTGCCAGCAACCACAAACAAAGGAGAAACATAAACAGCATGTAGGTTGCCAGCAACCACAAACAAAAACAACAATTATGAACTAAAAGGTAAAAACTTTAAATCCTCACCCAAAGCCTTCGAAGCAAAGGACAATGTGGCAGGATCTTTGCAAGTTGTGTGCTTTGCAGAGGTGCATAACTCAAATTCAAGAATGACAGATTTGCACAGGCCGGGTACAATAATGGAAGATAAAGAGAGGAAACTGCCCAAAAACCCGAAAGAGTATTCAAATTTTTGCAATTACTAAATACAGTTTCCAGCTGAGCATCCGCTGGAAGAGCATGATCTTGTGAGAATGAACCAGTTCCCAGTTCTATAAGCTGTGGAGCTCTCATCAGCAGTCTCCAAAGTTGCTTCTGTGTGACATTCTTATTCACTTTTAAGACTTTTAGTGATTTGCATCTTTCCACAAGCCTCTCCAAGTCATCAAAATCCACTTCAGAAGTCAGATGAGCAAAATTAAGCACTTCCAGGGACGTGACACTTTCAGGAAAAGAACTTAACCAGCTACCATCAAGATCATCAATCATGCATTCCTGTATATCTAGCTCAGTCAAGTTCCTGAAACCAAATTAAGATTTAGGATCTTTTAGACAAATGAAGGGAAATTTAAATAACAGCACAACAGCACTTGAAACGAGTAAGATTTCAAGCCATTTGTTACGAGAAGAAGGAGAATAAAAGGCCATATACAGGCTTGGGAATGCCTATTTTTTATTTATTTGATATCAGCTCATTGATTCAGTTACCAATTTACTAAGTGAGATCCTCTTACTGCATGATATATACTAGTGATTATTCCAGACCGGATCAATTATGCACTAGGGAATTGGAACAAAAATTATAAATAGTTTCTTTCGAAAAAATGACAATCACTCATAGACAGTAGTTATAAGTAGATTTGTTATTCGGTCAGAAAATCACATTATGTCATTTGCTTAACCCAGTTGAATCTTCAGAAAACTGAAAACACAGTTAATGTAGCTTCATCTTTGAAGCTTCAATACAGCATGTGGATAAGAAACTTACAGGAATCACTAATAGAAATGAAAAAAGGGGGAAAAAAAGAAAAAGGGAAGCAACAAGACATCCATGTGGCACAGTCAATCCACTGACTGAATGTGTATAAATTTTCTATTATCCTTCACGACTGATAGAAACTAGAAAAATAACCCATATTGAAATGACAAATGGGCAGATTAATGTACGTAATAAATGGAATTTAGTTGCTTGGATAAAAAGTTTTAAACCAGCTAAAATGTAAAGAATAACAAGGTCTGTCTGATATGCTGAAACGGAGTCACTTTCAGCAACAAATGAATTCTCTGCATACAAGTTCCACGTGAACTCATGAACTCTGGATGTTTAACATCTAAAGGGTCAAGCTAGCCAAGCATCAACAGGTTTTGTTATCAAGGTTATTAAACCAAATTTCAGGCTTCATTACTAGAAGGACCAAAACACTAACTAGCAAAGGCAGTCAAAGACTGCTTAAACACACTAACAACACATATTCTTTTAGCTACCACAGAAACAAATGTGCTGTTCAAATAAGCACCATCATCTGATACAAATGACTCCTTTAATTCCAAATACACAACGGTGAAAATACTTGATAAGAGAAAGCAACGTATTCAAATAATAATCTAAATAGATCACTCTGAAACGATTAATGACCGGAAAACCAAAAGCATCTCTCTGTGAAAATTTACCCAAGATTTATATCTGAATGAAACAAGAAACAAGAAATAAAGCAATATACCTGCAACCGCCCACGATGGAGGCAAGACCATTGGTGCTGAAGCCATCACAGCTAACAAGTGACAGTGCTTTGAACCCTGGAAATGACCGAGCCAAGAAATCAAGGCTCTCATCAGTAACACGCATCCTCTTAAGCCGCAGTTCCTCAAGAAACGGATAAGCTGAAGCAAAAACTTCAAGCCAGGAGTGGATATCAGCTCCCCAATTTGGAGGAACAAGATTGAAGTCTGAGAACCGAGGTTTCCCTTTAATGGTGAAACTCCGAATATTCGGAAACCTACGGGCAACAATCTCCGGAGACACGGAATAACAGTTGCCAATAAAGACATGGGTTCGGCTCCCTCTTTCTGCATCGTACCAATCCTTGGAGACCAAAGAAACCGCACTGCGATCTTTACGCGAATCGACAAAAGACAGAATGCGGTCTAGAAATTTATCAGGGAAGGGGGAGATTCGGAGCCCTAGGAGTTTCTCCTCAATGTCCATTTCCTCCTTCCCCTTGACTTAAGACAAAAAGTTGGCAAGTTTTCAATGAGTAACTGTCTCAAAGATTCAGTCTGTCGATAGCCAAGGGCAATAAAGACTTCAGATTCTTTTCTACAGATTGCTTTTTTGAAAGAAAAAAAAATTTCAACCTTTACCCTTCAATTAACATTTCAGCAAACCCCAACTATAGAAACCTAATTCTAACAAAAATTTGAAACTGAGCATGGTCACGGCTTCAACAAAAGACGAGCACAATGGAGGGATCGATACAAAAGTAATCTAATTTAAAACACACTAATTAAGATAAGAAAGATAAAACAAGCTTTAGAACTCGCAACGTATCTATTAATCTAGCAAAAATAAAGAGTAATATGAATGAAAATGGGGAAAAGATAGAACCTTTAATGAAGAGGACTCCCGGATGAATTCCAAAAAGGATCGAAGCTTTGAGAGTGCTTTTAAAAAATGGGAGCACTGAAACTCCATGTGAGCAGTGTACGGACAGCTTCAGCAGGTTGGAGACAGATCCAATTCTTTCGGTGGCAGCAAGTGGCTCGTTATTCTGCTCCGCCGACAGTCTAGTGATAAATATTGTTCTTCTTATTTTCTAATGTAAAAATAGTCTTTGCGTTTCTTCTCCGATTCAATTTATCTGTTTATTTGCGGACAAATTTTCAAAACAGTCCCTTTTGTATTTTTAATCCCAAAAAAACCCCTTTTGAACTTAATTTTAAAAACCGACCTAGCAGGTCGGTTTTTAAAATTTTTTTTTTACGAAACTTTACGCGAGTTGAACTCCTGTGAAGTTTAGCAGATTTTTAAACTTCACGGGGGTTCAACTCCCGTAAAGTTTAATTTGTTAAAAAACTTCACGGGAGTTAAACTTCGTGAATTTTTATTACCCCAATTCCTGCTCCTCTGAATAACCCACTCTCCGTTGCCAACCCAATCAAACCACCAATAATTGCTCCTGCCAACAAACCCACTGAACCCCAAACCAAACCAAAAAGATCAAAATTTGATCTGTGTAATGAAATCAGCACACGCAAAAACGACGACCCAGGTCGTTAAATTGAGCAAACCTGTAGCCAAATTTTGGGAAAATAGAGCAAACCTGTAGCAAAGACACAGGTGACAATAGTGCAGATGAGCTTCTTAGTGAGTTTTGAAGCTAAGGAGCTTGCCCCGCTTCTTCTTTCATTGGAATTTGAGGTGATAACAGAGAACAGGGAAGAGGAAGGTGACAAAGGAACTGGGAGAAGATCCATGGCCAAATTTGGGGAAATTTTGAGATGGTTTTTTTTAATAAATGACTTGGGGCAGGAATTGGGTTGGCAACGGAGAGTGGTTTGATTGGGTTGGCAACGGAGAGTGGGTTACTCAGAGGAGCAGGAATTGGGGCAATAAAACTTCACGAGAGTTCAACTCCCGTGAAGTTTTTTAAGAAATTAAACTTTACGGGGGTTGAACCCTCGTGAAGTTTAAAAATCTGCTAAACTTTACGGGAGTTCAACTCTCGTAAAGTTTCGAATTTTTTTTTTCAAAAACCGATCTGGTTTCAACGTCAGGGCTGAAACCAGGTCGGTTTTTGAAATTAAGTTCAAAAGGGGTCTTTTTTGGGATTAAAAGTACAAAATGGACTGTTTTGAAAATTTGCCTGTTTATTTGCTGTCATGATTTTGTCATATTAAACAGCCTAATCCTTATTAATCGTATTAGACCTCCACATCCTTGGTATTAGACCTCCACATCCTTGTAATTTCAAAGCAGGCCCTTAATCTCTAAAGTTGTTCTGAAAACACCCTCCTATCAGATTTAAGCGTGGTTACTCACTCCTCTTTCTACTGTTACCGAACTACTATGTTCCTTCCTGTATTAAAAAACAGTTTTTGAGCCGTCCGCTTTTACCGTCTTTTATCTCTCTCCTTTCTTCCTCAATCTCTTTCCTTTCATATATCTTTCTCCCTTATAAAGTAAGGGCATTAATGTAATTTAGTTAAGATGGTTAAAAGTTAATTATACTATGGTAAATTTTTCGGACAAAATCGATTAAGAGGTTTTTTTTTAAAGTAAATTATGAATTTGAGAGTATGAATTTAAAGATGAAGTTTTAGGAGCCTGATATACAGGTGAAGATTTGGGAGTCTAATGTGACAAAAACTCTTGAGTAATGAATTTGTTAGAAAAGAAGAAACATATAGATTTGGCAAGCTAGGCATGAGAATAAGGGGGTCAAAAAACAGGGGCGGATCTATATACAGTCTAGGTGGGGTCGCGGTCCCCCTAAAATTTTGAGAAAAAAAAGATAGGATGGTTTCTGTAAAACCTCCTCCCTTAAAAATTAAAATATATTCATTTTACATAATTTTTGTCTTACTCTTTTCAAATATTTTGGAGATATTGACGTTAGCTATTCTACTCGTTTTGTTTGGGTTGTGGTGTATCTCTTGTGAATAAAATTGCATTAAGAAAATTTTTTATCTATCTTTTGTACGCGGCCCCGGCCCCCAGAACTGAAATCCTAGATTCGTCCCTACAAAAAAATATTTGTACCCGTATTCATTATGTTACAAATAAGGTTATTAAAAATCTATGACGGATAGAATATAGTTACAGTTATGGTCATGTAATGAAATATTCAAATATATATCCAAAAATATATTGATCATATCGTTGCAATTGTTTTAAACCTTGGAATAATAGATTTGAGACCTATTTTGATGATTAAAAAAATATAATCTTAGCTTTTTTTAGATATAACAAACATTTTTATGAAATCTCTTTTATCATACAAACTATAATTTTTTGGTATCATTTGGTTTCTCATATCCGTTTTGTATCCACATATATGTATCCGGATTTAGCGATTGTAGATTTGACTTTTCTTTATCGAGACATATCCATATTCATATTTGTATCCAATTATAGCGGATATTGATATGAGTTTTCCATACTGAGATATGCATTTATCCGTGTATCTATCCTTTACCGGTAAATGAACACAAATATGATAAATAGTAAGTACCATATCCGAGTTGTATCCTATCCCTTAACACCCCTACATAAGAATCATCACATTTTGCTAGTTCATCAATTGATCAATAATAAAAATTCTACGGCAAAATGTTCTCGATGGCGTTGAAGATGAACACTATTAATTATAGCGTATTGGTTTTAATTGATGAGGGTACAATGAAAAACTTTAACGGCTTAAGTTTGTGAGAGGTCAAACATAACAGATTCCAACATTGGGGACCTGTTTAATACAATTATGAAAAAGTGAGGGGCTTATTTATTTAAAGCATACGTATTTCACATTTTGCGTACATGTTCTAAATATTGAATATTTGGGGATCAATATTAAAAATACCGTTAAATAATAGGAGATAATGATATATTTTTTGGATCTTTAAAAGTAGTTCTACTTCCAAGCTCCACGTTACCTGACTGTTTGACATGGAAGGAGGACAAGAGACGGCGGCTGCCTAAAGTGGGCAAAATTTCATTGATAATTAAGTTGTCTCTATTTATGTTCTCCAGATGACCCCCTTTTCAAGGGTAGTTAGGTCGAAAATAAAATAAAATAAAATTTGTAATAGTCTTCTGCAAAAGAGCTTTGCTACAGGGACTCAAAATATGGGATCATTTGAGGAGCCTATTGCATAATGAACTGGCATGACCAGCTCTCATTATGCAATAGGGAGGGGACATCTCACATGTCTCCTTCGTTGGTCCCATATTTTGAGTTCTTAAGGTATTTTTCTCTGCAACAAATGAAGCAGAACTTAGGGGATGATAAAACTACCCAAAAAACAAAATAAAAAAAAATAAAATAAAAAACCCTAGAAACCACTTAAACATAGGGTAATTATACAAAAACATCTTTTATTTTTTATTTATACATGAAACCATCTTTAAAGTGAGTTCTAGTTGCAATTAACCATCTCCATTCAAATTTTCATTAAAAAATAAATAAGCTTAAATATTTCAATTTCAAAGTACGTGAATTGTATCATAGTAAGACCAATACACAATTTTTTTTTTTTTGAGAAATGTGCATTGAAAAGCAAGTTTTTAAGGGTAATTTCGGTTTTTACTGAAATTTTCATTGAAAAATAATTAATTGCAACAAATACCCACTTAAAGGTAATTTATGTATAAATTAAAAACGAAAGGTACTTTCTGTATAATTATCCTCTTTTTAAGATGATCACTATGAGAAAACCCAGAAAAATTACAGATTATGGTAGATGGAGTTGTCTATCTATATTGATTTATATCTCTGGCTATGATTCTTTACATTTTAACAATATGTCATTTGCAGCCATTAAACATTCTGAGTTGAAAGTTCCTACAGCATTTGGGTCTTTCAAACTATTTTCATTCCTAATCAGAATCTTTTCTTTATGAAAATTTCTTTTCTAACCAAGTTGTGATATCTTCTTAGTCCAAATAGGGAGAATTTTATGATATTTTCTTAGTCCAAATATGGATAATTTTTGCTCCAGATGATATGTTAATATTTTGTCTAGTGCCCCCTGTTGGGGAGAAACCCCTATGCCAAGATCCAATACCAAATAGCCGAGAGAGATGAACAACACACCAAAGATAGCACAAACACAAGATACACCAGATTTTACGTGGTTCAGCGAGATGCCTACGTCCACGGGGCAAGGAATAGGGAGTTTTCACTATTAGAAATCAAGAGGAATAAACTAGGGTTACAAATCTCACAAAAAACCCTCAACAATCACACTTGATCTCTCCCAAATGCTCCAACAGTAGAAGCCCAAGAAATCCCCCACAATGGCTGCTAAAACCCTCTTGCCTTAACCCTAAAACCGTGACTTTGGGTATTTATAGAAAACCCAAACGAAACGGGTCTGCAAACAGATACAGCCCAAAACCGCTGCGACGGTCGACCGTGGGGGTCGACCGCGATCCATCGCGGCAGACTATCCAACACACTCCAACGTACAATAAAACCCTGTTCTGAGCCATCAACTGCCAATCCTACAAATCTCCACCTCGGCGAAGATTCTACCAAACTGAGCCGACACCAACCAAACCAATGTCTCACTTGTTGCATCCAGTTGTCATGGCAACAAACTCATGACACCGGACCCCATCCACAACATATTGAGACCCAAACGGGAGTGCAAACACTCACCCCAAACCAACTGTGTCTACTCACCAAATCGGTTGTATCAAAACTGACTGCCTACGTATCCTCTTCAAGGAATCAAGCATTCACGTAGTTCACCTAATGGCCTCCAAAGGCCCTCAATCCAAAAGAAGAGTCCTCAACTCTTCACCAATACCAACATCCAATGCGCTGCTAACAGCATCACCAACGGCTCCATACTGAAGCGATCCAAACACCTCCACCTGAGGTGGACCAATGGCCGTATCCAAGCTATATCCATCAGCTGCACATGGATCTACCAACTCGTCATCCGCATCCTGAAAAATCTGATCCCCAAACTGTGTCACCTCAGCCGGAATCCCAACAAATGCAAAATGACCTGGAGTATGTGGAGTAAGCTCCACCCAATGTAGAGTAGCATCACCCTCCACCCGCTGTGATATCCCT